TAATAAGGTTTTAATATAATTTAACCAAGTTTTACTTTTACCATTTAGACATCTGTCTAAACTCTTGATTTCGTCTAACAACCTTATTAACTGACTTATTATACCATGATTAATATCAAAATATCTTATTACTTTATTATTTCCATAGTTCTTACGTAAGCAATGACTTCTTTTTTATGTTCAACTGAGTATAAATTTTATTTTCATTTTGTTATTTTCACATAAAAAATAAAACCTGTTTAAAACCTGTTTCACATATTATATGATAAATCGCGAATGATTCAATCGATAAAAATCACATAATTAGGTGGTTACATAATTGAATTTCTTTCATTTTATTAAACTACCCAAAAATAAGCAACATTATAACAAAAAGTATTACTTATTTTCAGAAGAATATGATATATCATACCTTTAGGATGACTGACATTTTACTCATGACCAATAGCTATTATTTACAAGTTTATTTTATTTTATAAAATATAATTTTTATTATTGAACTCTTTTCATTTAATAATAATATTTTTATCTTTTTAGATTAATAGATAGTTGAAATATTATGATTTAAATAATTAGATTATTTTTATAATAAGATAATTAACTAATAACAATTTTTTTTTGGATTTTGCTTAATATAATAAATTTTTATTTTTGAATTATATAATAAAAATTTAAGGTTACTTATAAGCTATAAATTTTAAAAAATTTATATTAAAAAATATGATGATCTTATTAGAATTTACTTTTAGCCAAAGCTAGTATTGATTATACTATAAATTACGATTATATTAAGAATATGATACATAGTTTTGATTTAATTATCAATGTCGGTTATAAATAGCAAATTTCAACTTCAATTATATATTTACATATATGTTACATTATATATAGATAATTGTCTAATGACTGATGGAGAATTTCATTAGATGCGTTATTCAATGAATTAACTGTTCATTTAGTAGTAGTAATTGATCATCTTTTCTTACATTGTCACCTATTTTATTCGTTTTCTATCTCTCGTTTTTCAACATCCTGTAATATATTAAATGTACATTCCTCTTGTTCTGATATTGATGATGATTCATGTTGATGATTTCGACTTTGTTCTTCATTTAACGATTCCGATTCATCTGCAGACCCTAATTTATCACTTTCCGTTGGAACATTTTTTTCTCTTAACTCATTTTGTTCCTTCTCATATTCCTCGCGTTTCTGCTTTTTCAGCTATAAAATGTTTAAGGATTCAAAGTTAAATGGCATTATTAATTTTCAACATGTTTGATAATAAAATCCAATGTAACATACTTCTTCGATTTCCCGTTGAAGTTTAGCTTTCATATTTTTATAATCGTCCAATTGATACAAGCATTGGTGGAAAAATTCGGTGATATTATATACAGATTGATTTTGTCCATTTGAAAGTGCTTTTTTTTCTAAATAATATGAATAAATATAAATATTCAAAAGATAATAACAGCGATAAACGTCCATATTAAAAATACCTTGATCATAATCTGGTATTTTGTTTCTTAATAATTCATCAAACTAAAACAACAAAGATTTCAAATAATTAAATAAATTGATGCATTCGTCGACTAAAAAAAAAAAATCCTCAAAAAAAAGAAAATCCCACCCAACCTGATTAAATTGACCATTCATTATTTCAGTAAAATTCGTAACCGGTTTTGTATTAATTCGCAAATTATAATAAACGGTTATTCGATCCTCAAAATCCACATACATAAAACAATTAACGTTATGACCGGGTGCAATAGCATATTGGCCTAATAAAATTTTCAAAGTAAGATTTGGTTTTCTTTTAAGATCATCGTGAGTGAAATCTAACTAGATCATAATTATACAATACCTGCAGCGAATGCACAAACCCTTGTTTCAAATTCAAATTTGACAACATTAAAATCATGATCAATCATATATGTATTACCATTCCACGCACAAGTAACAAAAATATCATCACCCAATTTTTCAGGTTCATCAAGGCATTTTTTATCACCATTTATGCAAAGGTTCATAGCAGCCATTCCAAAAAGTTTATGAGTAACTCGCAATTCATGATGTCTCATGCTTGAATTTTGAAGATCGTATAATGTAAATTTTCCTAGAAGGGAAAGGGGACATTGTTGTGATTGGTATACAAATTAAATTGTAGGGAGAAATAATTAATCACTTACCATCCATGGTGATAATTGCCACAACATCCAAACGTTCACCTGAAATACAATTTATGAGAATTCATGTCTTTCAATTGTAATCAGATAATGAATCACGAATTTTTACACACCATTCTTAAACCTTATTCCACTGACGATTTCAGTCGAAACTTCTGTCAATTCATCACAACTTTCAGGATTATCTGATACTTGAGTAGGAAAGGTTTTTTTCTCATTCTTATCAATTATTATTAAGTGACCGCCAGGTTGACCAACAAGCAATAATGGAGATGAAGTGATTGGATCCTTGGCTGTGGACAAAGAAGTAATCTATTTGAATTTAGTAAATGACATGTTGTCAAAACAAGATCAAAGGGAATGCGAAAACTCATATGACACTTTTACCTGTCCGTCAAAGAACAATTTCTTTTTTTCTACCAAGTGCATCACGATATTGGCACCTTTCTTTTCTTTATCTTTAGAGTTCGCCATTTCAGACGCGAGATCCGTCATCATATTTGACCTAGCCAATATGTTTTGTTGCTCCTTCGTGAGTGACTTGATATTATCAATGGATAATTTTTGGAAACGAAGTACATGTAATATGCGATCAGTACGAGCAAGAATAACTTCATTAATTCCATCACCATCTAAAATATGAATAATAGAATTAATAAAATGTCATGTCAAACTATTTATGTCGAGTTATTTACAAAGGAATTAATTATACCGATATCTGCGATCAGGATTCGGTTACAGTTAACAGGAACGGGCAATGTCATTGTAGGTTTTTCGATGATCAATGGATTGACATTGATGATGGGTCGCATCGTAGAATTCTGAGAGTCATTACTTTTCTTTGATGATGTTGTTGTATTTTCATTATCGACTATTGGAATTAGTTCATTACTGGGTGCTACATCAAAGATATGGCACTGACCTTCCGCGTTTACACACACAATCGAATTCTTTTGATGTAATTTATTTAGATGTCAAACGATAAAAAAAAATTATTAATCATATACAATTTGATTCACATTTTTTATGTCAATATAATATACCTTTCCCGAATTCTTGATATCACCAATGGCCAAACAAGTTATCTTAATAAATTAATCATGTGAACAAAATGTTAATTAAAACCGATTTTCCAATTCATTAGAGATTTATGATGATGATGATGACCTACTGTTCCTAACCCATTGCAAATCATATAAGGTTCCCCGCAAACGGATATACCTTTAAACACTGCCAGTTCACCTTTTAAATTACCAATCACAAATTCATTATCCTACACTCAGTAAATAATGAAAAATATAAATATATCAAAGGTTTATTGATTAAAGTATTGTAAAATGATCTTTTTTCTCTTTAATTACCTCGTCATTATCAACATCACCAAAGCCGAAAGCATGAGGATTCATATTTCCTCCAAATTTCCATTTTACCCGCTCTACCAAACAAATCGACCTCATAATTGCAATTGATGTTTATTACAATCCAAACTTTTTTATCATCATTTTTTTCAACTAGCCAATGAAATTCATGAAACGTCACATCTGTATCACCATTATCACATAAAAATTGGAATTTTTTTTTTTTTGTTCGACCTTTCAAAATTCAAAAGAAACGAGGAAATTGTAATGGCTGAAAAAAAGATCGCAAAAAAACTGGGACAAATTACCACCGAAGAGACTCCAAAATTGATAGCACAAGCCCTTTATGATCTGGAAAATAACGTTCCAGAATTGAAAACGGACTTGAGGCCTTTACAAATTACTGACGCAAGAGAGGTGTATATATAAATTTAATAAAAACAAAATTTTTTGATAATTTGTGTTAATTAAAGCTTTTAAAATTAACCGAGGGGTTCATTTTGTTGAGGATGGAACTCTGAATCCGTAGATATCGTATTAATCATTTGATTTAATTTTTTTATAAAGTATGAATTGGGTGGTGGGAAAAAAGCCATTGTGATATTTGTTCCAGTCCCACTATTAAAACAATTCCAAAAGGTCCAATCAAGGTTTGAAATTTCTTATTGTTTTATTATTATTTTTTTTAATAATTGAATGATCATTTTTATTCAAAATTAAATTTTTTTTTTTTTTAAGGCTCACCCGTGAACTTGAGAAGAAATTCTCGGACCGTCATATTGTTTTCATCGCAGATCGACGTATTTTGCGTAAACCCGGCCGTAGATCTCGAGTGAAGCAGGCTCGTCCGCGATCACGTACCCTTACCTCTGTACACGATAAGTATCTAGAAGATCTGGTGTTTCCCACCGAGATTGTGGGAAAGAGGACACGCGTTAAAGTCGATGGTAGTAAGATCATTAAAGTGTACGTACCCCATATTAAATTGTAAAAATTATATTATAATAATCGCGGTATAATTGATAACTAATCAAATAATTTAATTGATTTTAATGTTTAGGTACCTTGATAATAAGGACATTACATCTTTTGAATATAAGCTTGATACTTTCAAAGCTGTTTACAAGAACCTTACTAGTAAAGATGTTGAGTTTCAGTTTCATCAACTTGAATAATAAATTTACAAGGGAAACGATTAATATGCTTTTTTTTATCTCGGAAAAAAAATTGTTTTTAATTATTAAAAGGATTGATTAAATCTAATAATGAATTGTATCTGGAAAACCTTTTTGATGATTTAGAGTAAAAAATTTATATTGATAATTTAAAACTTTTTCCATAATTTTTCAACTGTTCTTTTGAATTGACTTCACTCGCATATTTATTTTTCTATTTTAAATTCTCGTATTGAAAAAAGCTATGGTAAGTGAATTAATACATCGTAAAAACTTTTATCATTTATATTTATTGAATAATTTTATTATTACTTAATAACATCTTTTCAGCTTAACCTCAATATCAGATTGTATGATTTATTTTTATCATCATGACTTTATTGTAAAACATATTTGTTGCACAAAGAGAGGATGCAATCAGATTGAATCAATTTACTTGATACAAAAAAAGACTTAATGAAGTTTTGATTCTTTGTAATGTGATTTAATATGAAAAAAATGAATAAAGAGTCTGTCGATAATTCTAGTATGATTTTTATTTAATTTACACCAAAAGTATTCGATACAACATGCGAATATTCTGGTGTCACGTTATCGAAACTTGCCATTACGAACGCTATTCATTATCTTATGTGTATGTATGTATGTATGTATGTATGTATATATATATATATTATGTATAATAATTACAATAAATTGAACCTTAAACTGATTGATTGTAAAGCATCATTTGATATTTTCTATGCTACGCCATGACTAAACTATGATGCGCCATTATTAGGAAAAAGTCAAGACTAACCAGAATTGAATTTATTGGTTAGAATAAGGACCACAAGGAAAACTATAGTAAAATTGTATTTATATGCTAATTACGAAGATGTTGAAGTTGTTGAAGTTGCAGATGCGGAAGTAGAAGCTGCAGGAGGTCGATCTCTAAGATATCGTTTGTATGCACTATATACACGTGCTATCTCGTATGAAGTCATCCAACCGCTTGGCCAAACAGTCAATAACTGAAGTTATTAATAAAAATCATTAGCGATACTTGAACGCCGATAGTCCAATAAAGAAAAAAAATACATTTTTTTAAATACGTACATTCTGATACAGATGTTTTCTCTGCGTCTGTTCAGAATATCTTTCAGACTTTTCCTCCGCTTCCCTATTATATTTACGATTATTTTAATAACATATAACTGTGAGAAATCAAAAATAATTAAAAAAGGTTAACGTACTCCTCTAATACGTACCACAAATCATTACTCATCACAACAATTGACATTTCCGCTTGAACTATTTTCCATAACAGAGACCTTGTGGTTTCTTCCCATCTGAATTTTTTACCACAAGGATCCCTAGATCTAGTCGTATTGGAGCTGCTATCAGATTTAATACCATCGGAACGACTATCAGATTTGGTTTCTACATCTGCATCTTGATATTGATCTGTTTCGACATCAATATCCATAATGGATTCGATAGGTGTTGTGGAATCTAATAAGGCGCGAGTGGCTTGTCGTTCATTATACTCCTCAATGAGAAGAGGCATTGCTTCCTCAACAGCAGCTCTTAAATTTTCAATCAACTCCGTCTTGGTATTTTGTAATTCTGTTATTGTTTTAGGATACAAGGTCCTTTGACAAAGTCGCTATTAAAAACAAAATATAATGATTAATTAAAGGAAGAAAAACAATTAGAATGCTAAATAAATTAATCGTGGAATTAATACTTGCCGTTACGGTGAATTTATTATAGGGTAAAATATTTGTCAATATCTTGAAAAGATTTTCGTTAAATTGAGAGCATTCATATGCATTTGTTAAAATTTCCATCAATGGAGGCTTGAGACTTGGTGGAAATCTGGACTTAATCTCGAACGTTTCTGTTCATGATTTGAACAAATATAATTAAATATAATTAAATATAAATTAAATAATCAAAACAATAAAAAAAAAAAAAAAAATGATTACCATTATCCACTTTAGCTTTGAATTCGTCTACAAGTACTTGTATTTCTGGACGGATAGGATCCTAAAAAAATTATAATAATAGTTTCCAAGGTCAAGAAAAAATTGTGCGATTTAAATGTTATTAAATTTTATTTCAATCTTACTGTAGGATAAACTTTTTTCTTTTTTCCTGGAGTTTTATTTGGATCAGGTATAATGACCTTATTGAAAGTTGGCGTTTTAGGTGTTTCGTGATTTACATTAGTGAGAAGTCTATCAGGCGAATTCAGTGGAAAAGCATTGTTAAGTGCTGTTGCGAAATCTTTCGGTTGAGGAGTGACATTGATGACGGGAGTCGGGAAGAAATTCGTGAATGATTGTGGCATGGTCGATTGAATTGTATCTTGTAATCTAGTCTCAATAGTCAGCTTGGCCTTCTTATATGATCTCTTGGGTTTGTTGACTTTGGTGGCTGTATTATCATCACCTTCTTGTTCTTCCCCTTCTTTAGGTTTCACGGTACGCTTCTTGCGACCCTGTGGTGGTTTATCCTTATCTTCAACATTTTTTGGCCTACGCTTAGTTGACCTCTTCCTTCCAACTTCAGTTCTAAAATATAAAATTATTAATTAAAGAATCAAAAAAAAAACCTTTGACGTTTACAAAAAAAAATTTTTTTTTCTTACTCTTCTACCGTTCCTTGCAACGACAAAGGTCCTTTCCATACAAAATATCCTTCAACAGAAGGACGAATACTTCCATAATCTCGTTGAAATGGTGCCAAATCACTATCATCGATAAACGGATCGCTAACATCATAATTTTGCTCCTTTTTGCTGACTTTCTCTTTCCTTTTTTTAGGAGATTTTTCTTTTGGTTTCTACCATTTTTTTTAAAAAATAATAAAATAAAAAGAAATGAAAAGGATGATTATTAATAAAATAATGATATATAAAATCCCGATTAAAAAGTATAATAGTAAATCAGATTAAAAACATTGTTGATATATAGTATCATAAATTATGTTTTTTAAAATTACCTCTTCTTGAGAATACTTTTCCGCGTTTTCTAGTATCTTTTTAAAGAATTCATTACTTTCCTCGTTTACAGGAGGAGGTAAAGGATCATTAGAAGTACTCGGTATAGGTGAAGAAAAATCATTTGGAGTGTCATTATCAGACCAGTCTGAATGAGGAGTTTCTGAACCTGCGGACTCAGAACCTGACACATAACGTGGAGGTGTTTTTAACATAGTGAAGCCAGCCGCTTCGCATAAAGCCGGAAAAAATACAATATTATTTTCTTTATTCTTCAATTGAATATCTAAATGTATATCAGGTCTTTTTGGTGTTTGTTGAGGACTTTCCGCAGTTAGACCAAGTTTAGCCGTAAACCTATCTGTTACTTCACATTTATTCTGTGTAGCTGGTGTCGGTTGTTCAGAGATCTGAGTAGTTTGTTGTTGAACTTCCTCCGAATTATTATTAGGAACGGGAGTAGAGGCTTGTTCAATAATTATTTCGACCGCCGGCGGTGGTTGGTCACCCTTTGACTGGTCACCTTCCAAAGTAGAATATAATTCTGGGTCATTAGTTTCCATACCTTAATTATTATATATTTAATGATTCAAAGTGTGTTTAAAGGGAGCTATATTTCAAGTTTAGAAGTAATAAACTCACAATGGTGTTTATTTACTTCCGGAACTACAGCTCTTTTTATCTAAACACGAAATAAGATAAGCAAGGGAATATTAATATAACTAAAAAAAATGAACCCAAGTTCAAAATTATTAATTGAAGCATTATGAAAGACTCCCCACGTGTACATATTTGCATTAGGAAAATTTTCGGTGAATTTAATATAATGAATCAATGAATTATTTAATTAGGTAAAAAATGAAAAAGCAAGTTATTATGTAAATAATGATGTATAATACATCAAACACTGCGTAAAAAACAATAAAAATAAAAATACA